TTTTTGAAAAAATTTTTATAAAAATTGAAATAAAATATTGAAAAAATACGTCTCAAAATTCTTTCCATTTTCTCGTATGACTAATACATACATGATATGACTACGCAGATAAGAATTCTAATATCTCATGTACGTGATGTAGACGAGACTCGAGTGTTGAAACATTTATATGTTGCACACAAATGTGAATATCCATATCGTCAGGATTCACTTTGCGGCGAGAGATGCTTCCGCGACATCATGACATTCGCTTCAGGCATACTGAAACTTTGGGGAAATTTGCTCCGTTCCCTAAGTACCATTGCCGCTGGTGCAAATGGATAGCAGTATCACTCGGCGCTCGAGTGCTCACGAGCTATGGCAACGAGGATATTTTGTGCCAACATAAGCATCTTGGAAAATTTGTCCTGCCGTGTATAATAATATTGTTACAGAATTTCCACTCCGACATATATACATTCTATCTTTGCAACGGAAAACGATTTTCTACGTCGGTTCTCTCGAGTGCACTTACTTTAAAAAATTCATCTGTTTGTAAGATATACCCGCCAAGTCAACTCGTGGCGTCGAAACGGAAGCCGCTAGAAAAATAGTCGTGCAGTTTTTCGCAACTATGTTACTTTATATGAAAATATCAGTTGCATACATGATGAAATCTGTAACAAAACTCGTTTAATTTAAGAAACTTTATATCGTTGAAAAAAGGGACATCGATGCTGTTTTTGAATATGATTTATCTGAATATATACATAATTATTAAATTAATATATGGTATTATTTACACATTCTATATATCAATTGTATCTTTATTTAATTTCGAGAGATGGAAATTTATATTCGTGTCAGAGATGTCGTGGATACAATTAATCCGCACGCACGATTTTCATTATTATGTATCGCCATAACTCTAATTTATTACTATAATAAATACGTGTTTGCGGCGCATACAATAATGTTCTTGACAATATACTTCGTCATGATTATATGTATATATATATATATATATTTATTTATTT